CATAAACCTATCCGGCATAGCGTGTATTTGGTCTTGGATAGTGACTAGTGATCTGTTTATGTAGCAGTATCGAGGAGGATTCTGCAACCTTTTTTTTCTGTAAAATTCTTGATAGTAGGTATGTTAGCCTTTGCAATCCATATGACACAACTGCTTTGCCCGTGTAAGAAAGGTACCCACGGATTCATAGATGAATAAGCTTGACTGTATTACAAGAAAACTTTTATTGTGAAATCAGGCAGTGGGTCAGAAGTGGTGTGCAGGCTGTGGTCCGCCAGAACATGGTGGAAGAGCAGGATTAGAGGGAAACAGGTTGATAGGAAAGTGGAGGCAGAGACCAGAGGATTTTGGATTTCAGCCTTGATCTGGGAATCGATACCCTCTTTAATGAAACCAAGCCTGGTGTATCTCTCCTCAAAGCTATAACTCCACAGACATTTAAATGAGAGCCAGCTGTTTTGTATTTATATCTTAAGATAGTTGTATGCCCAGCTACAAATGGAGACATCTCTGTGACTGAATATGAAATTTGTTCAAGTGGTATACAGAGAGTAAATGAGGCCTCTGAATGCCCCTGCTAAAGTCTGAGTTGGATCAGGAGCAGAAATCTGGCATCTTTGGAGTTCTTTCTATGACTGCTCGCTAGGAAGGGATCAAAAGATCAGATGCTAGAGGAAATCAGAGGATGCTTGGCCAGGTCCTCCAGGGTCTCTGAACTCAAAATGTGAGCATGGTCCTTGTTTAAAATACCAGTGTGAACTGATTCCCAAATAGATATGCAAGCCATGTCTGGGCTCCCTGTAGGAACTGTTAGCATATCAGCTCTGAAGTAACTTCTGCTTATTTTCATTGAACATAATGTTAGGTGCCATCGGAGCGTCTTTTGTACGCTTCCGCAGAGCTTTTCCCCCGATGCCGTCAGAAATTCTGCAGTCTTTCCCCTTACATGTTGTTTTTCCTCTAGCTAAACTTTCCCAAAGCTCTATTAACGTTTTTATCTCCAGCACCAGTCCAGTCCTGATGTGCCTGGAAGTCAGCACTTGCTGAGCATTCATTGAATGAATTCATAGGGGTCAACATTTGTCCTTATTCAGAACAAACGTTTATAAAATTGTATTTCTGTGCTCTTCATTGCTGCTTATTTTTCACTGAGGCATGATCTCCTATAGTCTTCAGAATTTATTTCCTTATTTTACTGTTCAGTTTCTGAAACCCTCTAATTTGGAGTTACATTTCTAGGAAAATGTGGCACTATATCAAATGAAATTATTGTGGTTGCTTGCGGCGTCCTGGGGAAAAATGTAGGCTGGCTTTCATGCCAGGAAATCTGGATCTTCTGCGGTATCTGCTTTGCACAGTTGTAACCTACATATTGGAAACAGCGCAATGAGATTGCCGATTCTCTGCGGGCTTGTAAGATCTTTACCCCTCCCACATCAGGGTGTTAGTGTCACCCAAATACATACCCATAAGTATTTTTTAAAGTCCTTTTTAGAACCCGAGTTGCCCATCCCTGTAGAAGAGGAAACTGTTCTTTTAAAAGGACACTTCTTTATGCTGATTTAGTACTCGCTGGCTTTTAGTGACCCATATAACCTAACACACACAGTAAGAAGTAGTCAGTAATCCCAGGGCCTAGCTCAGAAATATCTGTTTTATTTTAGGTTTTTTTTTTTTTGTACAGCATTTAAATTATATGTTTCCTAGTGCAGTTGAAATCGTTTGTTATTGGACAATTTTTAAACTAATGGTGACATATTGAAAAGATGATTATGTGGGCATGGAATAATAATTATAATTATGTGACAGAGAAAATAATACACTCACAGAAAGCTGAATGAACAATGGGAAAAGTCGACAGATTATGGAGACAATTGCATTGCTTGCTGGAAATTATATGTACTTAATCAAGGATCTGCTTCAGGTAGTGGAAAGCCTGTTCGCTGGGCGCAGGATCTGTGGGTGTATGATGCCCTGGCTGCTCACATTGGGTGTCTTCTCAGCGGCCCAGCTGGCCAGAGCACCCTGCTAAGCCATGAGCAGGCGATTCTTTGTAACTGGTGCCTTCTGAATTGCTTTGACCAGACTTTTCAAGCAAAAGGATTTGCTTCTTTTTTTGTTTTCAAAATGTTTTTGCTGTAGGTTATGCTAGGGTAAGAGACAAAGTATGTTCAGGGGTTGGGAAAAGAGACCCTGAGCTAACAAATGGTTGTTTGTTCCCTTTAAGCACTGGTGAGGAGGAGGCAGAGCAGTAAAGGTGATGTCAGAGGAGAGTGTGCTGGGCAGGTCTGCCTGCTCCCTAAGCTCGCAGCAGCCATCACCACAGGAGGGGTGTACTGATGATAACCTTCCCCCCAAGTCTGTTTTCTGATCAAATTTGTCCTGTGTTCTTGGGGCGGGATTGTTTTAAGTCATCTTATCGGTGGAGCCCAGAGTTGGGTCATCTGGAGCCAGGGCTTTTTCTCTTGCTGCCTGTTCCTTCACAAGCTTAGAGCACATGGGGTTTTCACTTATTTTGTGACTTTCCTTTAGGATCATATCCACACATTGAGTATTTTTATCCGAGGACTCTGAGAATTTTCAGACTGATGTTTGAAGCACATGTGTTAATGAAAGCTCTCTTCAGGTCTTATTAGTACAGGCTGGAAGGAACTGCTTTAGGTGTATTTTGTTGGTACAAGTACATTATCAAATTTAAATAGGAAATTCCTTTAACTTTTAGTTTTACTGAGGTTTTGCTTTTTTTTTTCCTTTTCTTGTATTTAATATTATTCTTCCTTTACTTTCTCTTATAGAAAATGAAGTAGCCTATTAATTCCGTACATATATTTATAGTTGAAGCTGTAGAAGCAAGTTCCAAGACGTTTGGCTATAACAAATGTAGGGAGTTCATGGGAGAGATGATGCTGAAATCACGTGTGTTAGCCATCACAGTTCATCTAGGATAGTTCAGCTCTAGAACCCTGATCCTCCCTGTCTTCTGTTTAAGGTACTGGAGGTTTGACGTCATGGGTTTGGGGCCAACGGAGAAGAACCTCATGTCAACTCTACTTAGTTATCAGCTACATTCAGTGTAGAAACCCACTGTGCTACGTGCATGACAATAGTTTGCTTACACAAAGAGTTATAGTTCCCAATTAAGTGGAAGCCATCAGCCCAGGGGGCTTCAAACCTACACCAAGAATTACAGGAAACTAAAGAATGCTGTGAGTCAGAAGAATTAGTCTTCCCCAGGAAAAAGCAGACAGACTGGTCATTAACACCAAATGGTCATTCCTGAAAACATTCCTGATATCAAGCTGTACTAACGAACAGCAGAAATAAAAAAAATACATATATACACACACATACATATATACGTGTGTGTGTATGTGTGTGTGTGTGCAACAACAGTTGATGAAAAAAGGACCATGAGGTTGAAAGAAAGAAGGAATACATCAGAAGATTTGGAGGGAAGAAGGGGAAAGGAGAAATGATGTAATTATACTATGAAAAGATAAATAACTTTTAAAGAAGCCTTGATTTGGAGAGAGTGTGTGTGTGTGTGTGTGTGTGTGTGTGTGTGTGTGTGTACACAGGTACACACATGTTCAAGGGGGCACTTTATTCTTTTTAGTTGGTATTAGGAGTTAAGCTTCTCGATAATGATTGGAATAACGTATTCTTTGAGATACTGTAATTGATCTTTAACCTCATGTCTCGGCTCTGGGGGGGACCAGAACTGTTTTGCTTTTCCATCTGCTGAACTGCCCCTTCCCAGGGATAGAGTGATGGTTCACTAGTTCTGTTTGTCTCTAAAGTGATCCAAAACCAGTTAAGGTGCGGTTTTACAAAGTTGGAATAAACAGGCCTGCTGATGATTTGTTAGCCATCACGTGGCTTAGCTAACCTTAAGCAGGATTTTTCTTTTTGCGTGACGTGCTTTCCTGATAAAGTGATGTTAAGCAAAAATGAACTTGATTTTGCAAATGTGGAGCATCATCATCCTTAATGAGGTATTTATGAATGTACGGGAGTGGCGGGGGTGTGATTGTCCAGTTGCAGATTTTTTTTTTATTACTAAGAATCATCACAACCACGATGAACCTCTCTTGTGCATAATTAGTATACACTAATAAAAACACTTTTAAAAACAAAACAAAAAAAAAAAGAATCATGACAACAACCAAAGATTTGTGTTAACTTTATCTCCTTACCTTAGAGTAATTACCACTCTCCCAGCGGCTGCAACGTTAGGACTTAAGGGCCACAGGCCTGTGGTCACACATATAAGGAATGGCGCTGTGGACGCTGACCGACTCCAGAGCTACTCACAGGAAAAAAGAAAGCATCCTCCGCAAAGATGTTGTGTCCATGGTGCAAGTTTGTTTGTTTTGTCTTGTTTTGCCGGGTATCATCAGGGGTAAATCTGATCATATCAGTCAAGATCTGTACCTGAGGAATGAGACCCGAGCGTTAAGTAGAGCCGGTTATAATTCTCGTGTCTTCACGTTGCATTAATATGAAATCTTACGTAGGTAAGGAAGGAAGTTTTTTTTTTTTTGAGAAAGATTTCTGTGTGACATTTCATGTAGTTGAAACACTAATGCATTTCCTGCCTTTTAGCTAACAGAAAAAAAATAAAGTAGCGTGCCGTGAATGGGTGTGTTTAATTAGTGTTAAAATTCTGTAAGTTGAAAGCAGACAAAGTAAAAATGTACTTTCCTCAAGAACGATTCACTGCTCTCCTTTTAAATGACAAAAATTAGAATAATGATACTGTGCCTTATTAATAATAAACATTCCAATTTACTTTGGTTTAGGAAGAATAATGAATTTGTTGACTGTTTTTACCTGTTTGCAGAGCCATTAATATGTACATCCTAAATGTAAAAAATGTTTTGCCTTGTTATTTGGAAGTATTTAATGACATTTTAGTGTGTAATGCCATACGTTCTAGGGCTTGACCTTATTCAGCTTCTGGTTTTTTGTTTTGTTGTTGTTTTGTTTCTTCCCTCCAGTGTCTGTATTCATGCTAAAAGTCCAGGTGAATGACGTCATCAGTCGCCAGTACCTGAGTCAGGCAGTTGTGGAGGTATTTGTCAACTACACGAAGACAAATTCCACAGTAACTAGGAACAATGGAGCAGTATTGATAAAAGTGCCCTACCAATCAGGACTCAGCTTAACCATCATTGCTTACAAAGAGGGCTACGTCTTGACGCCTCTGCCGTGGAAAACCGGAAGGATGCCAAGTAAGTTCCTCGGTGGTGTTTTGCATTCACAGATGTAAACAATTTCTGCATCTGGTGGAGGAAAGTCTGTAGGGCTGAAAATGAGCATACCTGTAAGGAGGGTGTGTAACATGTTTAGAAGGAAAGGAACATTGGTAGACAGCACGATTTGTCTGTTTGGGGTGCTGGAACAAAACACTGAAAACAAGGTGGCTTGTGGGCAACAGAGACATCACACTGTTCTGGAGGAGAGGAAGACCAAGACTGAAATGCCGGGGGGGTTCACCTTCTGGTGAGAGCTTGCTCTCTGATTGGGAGAATGACTTTCCCTTTTATAGATGTCACCTTCTTACTTTGTCCTCACCTGGAGGAAAGAGCTCTGGGGGCTCTTCTGAGGAGGTCTAATTCCACTGACGAAGCCTCCGCTGTCCTAACTTAGTTACTTTGAAAACAACACCAGGTCTGAGTTCCGTCTCATGGAATGAGCCTTAGGTTCAGCAAAGTGGTTGGTTGGCCCTTTGATACTTGTGCCACCATTAAGCCAGGCCATCTCGCAGACATGGCGCTGCTGCTGGTCTTCGGGTTTGTAGCTGGGGCTTTGATGATTACCCCTCTCCTCTAGCAGTGTGTAGATTACAATCCAGCACCATAAGCCCTAGTCAGGAGGGGTCAAGCTTTGGGTCATCGGCTCCATTTCTCCAGGGTTGATGATGTAAGCATGTGATGTCAGCAATAGGGCCTTTACCCTTAGGATGCAAGGGTAACCGGCAGCCTTGGCGAATGCCTGTGGTGTTGGGGGAGGGGACCTAGGGGACCTCTTTGTGCGGTGACCCAGCAAGATGTAACTCGCTCCTGACACTGAGGGCTTCATTAGTGGTATGAGATGTCTTCCTGCTGTGCGGTCTTTCCTGTCATGTGGTGATCTGTTCACATTTCTACAAAAATCTGGATTGTTTTAGGGAGCTTCTGCAGTAGTGGGTTTCCATGAGGTCCCTCCTCAGCCCGTCCTTTACTCTCTCACCCCTCCCCATTTAATGCTCCTATTCTCGTTTCCCCGCATCTCTTTATCCCTGTGTTTCATTTCCCTGTCCTCAGAAGGCCCCATTCTCTGCCTTGAACCCTTCCTGGGTTCCTAGCCCCTCATTATTGAAAAGCATACATATCTAATGCTCTAAACCTGACAGCCATATATAAAAGAACACACGCAATATTTGTCTTTTTGGCTCTGAGTTACTTCACTTGGGATACTTTTTTCCAGCTCCATCTGTCATTTTACCCACAAATTTCATTTTTCTTAACAGCTGAATAATACTCCATCGTGCAAATGTAACACTTTTTCATTGGCTATTCATCAGTTGCTGGTTATCTCAGCTGTTTCCAACTTCTGCTTATTATGAATATAATAATGAATGTGGATGAGCAAATATCTCTGTAGTAGGATGTATAGTCCTTTGGGTAGATCAAGAAGCTTTTGAGACACACTATGACAGAATTGTACCTGCCTCAGTTTCCCCTACAGTAAATATTTTGATTGTGTTGTCCTATTTCACAGTATATTCTTCAGTTACGCTTTCACTGTTCCCGCAAAGCCAAGCAAACATATGGCTCTTTGAAGATACGGTTTTGATTACTGGAAAACTAGCTGGTAAGTGTAACACTTCTTTAGTAAGGAAGTCCTAGGGTGATCTTTTTATAAGAGGATCCGGGTTGGTTGTAACTTGAGAAAAGTCCAAGTTAGGCATGGCTGCTAAGTTGATCTAAACCAGTTCTTATCTTATTATAAAATCATGGTTTTGTGTATTGGAAATAGTTACCTTTCATATGCACTAAACACGGGAACATATGATGTGAGGGAATAGCAGGAGTTCTTGTCTATCCTCCCCTCGTCTCTGACTGTGAGACAGTGCCTGAGCCAGTGACAGGGACAGAACACGTTTCCCACACCTTCGGACTAGGAAGTCTGCGCTGCTCCCACGTGCGCCTCCAGGTGAATCTGGCTGCTCATGTCGGAGAGGCTTGTGACTGGGGAGCTCGGGCCCCTCAAGGCAGCCATCCTTTGTGGCACTTGGCACTTGTCTGTCCGAAAGAAAGAGTTTGAAAGCCCCCCGTTCCCTCCGTGTGTTTTTTAATCGGCACACAGGAGAAACTCAGACAGACACGTATTACACAGTGCCTTTATACAGTACAATTGTTTGTTTGGTTTGTGTGGGTAAGTTAATGGTCAGCTCTAACATAGGGAGATGACTAAAAGGCAGGAAATCCTCATGAAAGAGTCAAGAGAGGCGTGGCCTAAAGAACGGCTTGTGAAAGCTCACACTTAGAAGCCCATTTGTGCATTTCTGAAGGATTAAGTAAGAAAACTTAATAGTTCCCAAGTGAGAACTTGACTTTGGGGTCCATTAATCTTGGAGTGAGTTACTACGTAAGACTGTAGCCCCTTTTCCCTGGATGTTACAGCATTTGGTACACATTTTGCTAGCATGTGGCAGAACACGGCCTAGAGCCGTGTGTGGGGAGGTTGGAAAGTGAACAGGAGCCACGTGGCTACAGCGCGTCCTGGCTTTAGCTGCTGGGGCTTGAACGAAGCTAGACACAATCTTCTGATGTTGTTACAGCTCTCCATAAAATACCTACTTGTTAATGCTCACAAAATACCTGGTAAAGAAGACATTTGGCTTATTATACTAGAAGTGTGTTTGTATAATAGACGTGTGTGAATGTATCTGTGGACAATAGGACAGAAAGATTAGAAAACGTCTCTGAGGTAATGCAGATAATTTGCACGGGATGCATTTTTTTTTTTTTTTTTTTTACTTCTAAGAAAATTGTATCTTCAGCATAATTAAGCCACATATGTAAAAATTTTTATTTTTTAGGTTATCATACAAAAATAGTACATTTCATCATGATATCTTCATGTATAAAGGTCACATATTTTAACAGAGAATGTTTTAGGGAGTATTTTAAATGATCTGAAAATTGTTTTCTCAAATATCTTAATCAAACAATAATAACTATATCATTGTGTTATTTTACTCCAGTGTTTTGCAAGTATTATTTTTCTACCTTTATGCAAAAATCTTAGAAGTTGATTTTGAGAATTATTTTACATTATTCTTTCATTAACGTACAAATCTTTAAATTTGACACATTTTCACCCTAATAATTCAAACGATTCCTTCTGTGATCTTTATCAGTGATCTTATCAAAGTTCAAGGCCAAAGGTAATATATTTAATAATTTATCATTTTAATTTTGGAATTGATCCGTGGCTTGTTAAACTGTGTTGGGTATAGAAACATCATCGTGTCACTGAGTTCTCAGTTGACAATCATCAGAAGAGAGTCAGTTCAGCACGGCTGACATGAAGTAATATGTATATGTCTGGAATCTGGCATCTGGAAGACTTTTAAAAATTATTGCGTGGCTCTCTGATGGAGAAATCTACCTATTCCACTATGTGGCTAAATGTGCTGGGGACCGTTATTTTTGAACTTGCTGGAAACCCATCCTAAACCAGCATAAGCCCAAAGGAAGCATTTTTCTTTGACAAAGTAGAGTCAACTTCAGGCACAATTTAATCGGAAAGACTGAAGTTGAAATAATTGAAAGACATTTTTTTTTCTCTCTCTCTCTCCACTTCTCAGCTCTACCCTGTGAACACTGCCTCTATTTTCAAACAAGCTTCCGTTTGGGGTTACAAGAAGGGACCCAGTGGGAAACAAAGCAAACCTTCCATTGTGCACCCAGGCAGGCACACCCTTGTGAGCTGTGCTTGGCACTAGGCCCCCTGTTAAGCAAGGGCAGGAGGATTGTTTGGTCTTGGCTCATTCTGACACACACCATCAAGTCCAGTCCTGGTGCATACAGACCTTGCCAGCTGAGGATGATCACTGTGTGCCCCTAAAGAGATCTGAGAAAACCATGAAGGAATTCTGGGCAGCAGGGTCAAGCGGCTCTAGCCTGGAGGTGCTCTGTGATCCGAAAGTACACTGACATCTTTTCCCACAGCTTCCGCTGCACCTTCAGGTTTCTTCTATGCAGCCATGTACACACCAGTGGCTCATTTGTGGCTCGCAGATTGGTACTGTGGTGAAATTAAAGTGCTCATTATATAAATCTATAAGAGGAAGCTTCTTAGTTCTGAACTTAAAGTAACTACCTGAGATGTTGGTGGCGCTCAGGAATCATTATAACCACACCCTTTAGAAGAAAACGCCCTGGCCGGTGATGCTGTTTTCAGTGTGCATATATTTTGTCCATTTGTTAATGTGATTTCCTTTGTCCAGATGCCAAATCTCAACCAAGTGTTCAGTTCTCAAAAGCCTTCATTAAACTTCCTGACAACCATCATATTAGCAACGTGACTGGCTATCTAACAGTTCTGCAACAGTTTTTAAAGATGGACAATTTTCTGTATACGGCTGGAATCACTCTTAACAAACCAGGTATCTTCTACATTTTAATTGTGTAATCACGTTTCTAAGAAACATCACCACATACATTTTCCATCAAATACTATTTATTTAGGTACATAATATTATGCATTTGATTTTCATCTAAGATTTGCAAAATACACCTTACTTTGAAGTATCTACTATTAAATTGTTCATAAGCAATTTCCTTTCATCCAAAAAAGAATAATTAAGCTGGTGGTGGTGGCATGCTCTTTTAATCCCGGCACTCGGGACAGATGCAGGTGGATTTCTGTGAGTTTGAGGCCAGCCTGATCTACAGTGTGAGTTCCAAGACAGCCAGAGCTACACAGAGAAACCCTGTCTTAAAAAAGAAACAAACAAAACCAAAGAAGAACATCTATACCAAAGTCTTTGGCGTTCATTACGTCAAACTAATCATAATGTTCTTTCATTTTAATTCACCAAATTTCATCTGAGCCAAAGCAAGTAAGAAAAAAAAATACAAAAAGCTTTGATTGTTGTAAAACTTCTCAAAATAGTTCATTTAGAAACTTTTACTTAAATACATGTCCTAGTTTGACTTTCTCTGCGGTCTTAGCGAACTGCTGAGGCGTGTCAGTGAAAGCATACCAGGGAAGGTATGCTGTTTAACTGGTCTCTGAGTTATGTTTGCCAAGTTTACAGAGCTGAGAGAGCTTCCATTGTTTCTACTTAATTCTTTTTAGCTGCGTAAAAGCTGATACCCCTTCCAGACTGCACAGCTTTGATGTTAGGTTCTTATGATGTAAATGTTAAGGAATTAATTTTGCCTTTAATTAAGAACCATTTGTCACACCACTTTTGATATTCTTTGTAAATCTAACTGAAACTCCACTGTCTAAAATTACCTCAGACAAGCTGTAACGTTGAGTATTTCAGTTGTGTCAAATTTTTGGCTCACTTCGGTACATCTAGAAATGGGAGTGATGAGAGTGTATTATATAAGCAATATACCTTGTAAGTTGTAACTGACGCTGCCAGTGTCCTGGCCTGATGAGGCCCACCCTTCTGTCACAGCCTGCTTCCTGCTGCACACAGCAGTCACTGTGTGGAGGACACTGCCTGGTCTACGCAGCAGGCTCCATCCTTACTGGGGCATGCAGGCGCTCACACACACACACACACACACACACACACACACACACTCCCATTTCCTTGCTTTGGCTAGTGTGCTCGCAAGTCAGTTCCTGCTCAAATTATCCCAGAGCCTGCCTCTGGAAGAAGTCAGTCTGAGATGCCCGACAGTCTTCTAGATGTAAGCTAGAGGTCGCTCACAGGAGTGCTGGAACGCCGGTGTCACGGGTAAGCTCACATGCAGCCTGGTGCCACTGCTCACCAAGTGTGAGAGGCCATCAGTGCACCAAAGGCCTGGGCGTCATATAAAAGCCACGTGCAGCCGGCAGACCCTCTGTGGTATCACACGGTTCTAGAGCCCCATGAGTCTAAAGCTGTTTCATTTTTTTAAAAAGAAACTCAGGGTTAGGGTTCGGGGACTGGTGTGTGTGCTCTCACTGCAGCACGCCCACAGATGCCAGAAGACAACTTTTGGGCGCCAGCGTTCTTCCTCTCACTTCACCCAGGATGCAGGTGAAGGCTCAGAGTACCAGGCGTGCACAGCAAGAACGTTCACCTGCTGAGCCCTCTCACCGGCCTGGGCTTGGGTTTCCAAAGCCATTGGGTGGGACTCCAGTGCTCATGACTAGATGGTGCGGGCAGAACCACATCAGCGGAAGCTTAGACCCATCTGCCAGTGTCACACTGTCAGCCAGCACTTCCTTAGGAAATATCTTGAAATTATACTTTGGAAATATCTAATAGGCATCCAACAGTATTTGTTAGGATGAAAAACAATAAAGAAATAGAGCAAAATTATTTTTGGAGACATAACACTTGTTATGTATATACAGCCTCTGTCTGTGTCTGATTTTGACAGATTGTACTCTCTCTTAGGCTTGGAAAACATCGAGTTGACCCCTCTTGCTGCCATATGTGTGAAAATATATTCTGGAGGAAAAGAATTAAAGGTGGATGGCTCCATCCATGTTTCTCTTCCTCTTCTACCCACAAACAGTGTAAACATGGGCGATCGACTACCTGCTTGGACGTTTGATATGAACACAGGTATGGTTGCTAAGCGACAATAGTTACTTTTCTTTCGGATATTTGGTTATCTCATTTTAGAGTTTGGCTCACATCTTTGCTAAGGGCCACAAGTGCCCTCACTGGTCAGTGTGCTTGTGAGGGGAAATGATGCTAAAACTTGTCCTGGCTGCTTTTCCTATCGCTGTAATAAGACCCTGACAAAAGCAGCTTAGGGGAGAGGGCTCTGCTTTGGCTTATAGTCCGTCCTGGCGGGGAAGCTTCAGCAGGGGAGGGGCTGAGGCTTCCGCTCACAGTCGAGGAGCAGAGAGCGAGGAGGGCTGGTGCTCGGCTGCCTGTCTCCTTTTTCAGGATCCAAGCCCAGTGCTGGTGTGTCTTCCCAGCTCAATTATCCCTCTCAAGATGATTCCCCACAGGCATGCCAGAGTCGCCCCATCTCCCAAGGTGATCCTACAGCTCCTCAAACTAACAATTGAGATTAACTATGGCCTGTGTTACGTGAAAACAAATCAACATTATTTACCCACATTGTCCTTTCTTCCTCTAACATTTTGAGAAAAAAAATTATTTAATATTAAAAAATATTTCCTCAAGAAATTTCAGTAGGTAATATGAACTTACTGAAGAGTTTGTTTAGACCATGCAAAATGAATGCTAACATCACGACAGTAAGTTGTACAAGAGGTGGAAGGAGTGATGACGCCCCTTTAAGCACCGGTTTTAGACATGGCCTTGCTTCCTAGGTGGCAGCTGGGGAGCCTTTCCTCTTTGCAGCCTGTTAGCTTTGTTCTGATTCCCATGTAAATACAGTAATAGTGTAAGTTGCTAAATTAATTAATAAATAGGTAGGTCCAGCAGGATGGCCTGTGCAAAGCATGCTGCAGAGCTGGACAGGTCTGCAGGACTTGCTTTATCTTCGTTCCCACCCATTTCCTCTATGTTGACACCTTTCTAAGACAGGGTTTTGAAATGCCTGACAGAAGGTTGTTGGCGCCACGGCTTCTGACTGTACCCTTAGCCAGGCTGAAGGCGCGCGGGAAGACAGATGAGCTTTCTGTGGCAGCCGCAGCACCGTCCTTCAAGTGCTCTGTGCTGTAGAGCAGGGTTTGTGTAAGAAGAATGCACACATTTTACACAGGATGAGCCTCTGTGCTGATGTGGTGTGGGGTCCCAGTCTCCACGTCGTCTGAGAACAGGGCATGGAGGGAAACCCGAGGGAGGTTAGTGTCGAGATGGGTAGGAAGGCCAAACCCACACGGTGTCCCCAGCGGGAGGAAAGCTGCACATGTCTGTGTTCCTCGGGTCAGTGCGAACCACACAACTGAGAGTGGTGGCCCACGACTGGGACATTTGGGGTTAGGCAGGGAAAGGTGTTCATGTCAGCCTGCCAGCCCAGTGTACCTTACAGAGTACATGCAAGAACGGAAGCAAAGAGACGATCCTACAGAGTCGCTCTTTGACCCCCATGCGAGGATCTGCCATGCACCTCCCCCCCCCAGAAATGATGATGATGATGAAAATCTGTAATTGATTTGTCATATATTGCCATGTTAAATGTAACTTAAACGAAAAGGATCAGAGTTTCTCTACCTTGTTGTCAACTGTTTGCTCGATATTGCTGCGGATAACCGGGTCCATTTTCCATTTACTTCCGTATAACTGGTGGAATTAATCTTGTATAGATACATCTTATTCACCCCCTCATCCACTGGCATCTGGGATGATAACAAATCTTCTTGGCTGTGGTAAACAATGCTCAGTAAACACGAGACAAAGGGTACAAAACCAGTCAGGAGGAATTAGTGTTTAAGATAGCGGGGCCACTTATCTGTAACAATTTCTGGTGTTTCAAGACCACTAGAGATGTCCAGAGGTTCCACCCCATAAATGTGATCCGTGTGTGTGTAAGGCAATGGAAATGCTGTTTCACACTATACGCTGTGAATAGCTGGGAAATTCTACTGTATACGATAAATAAGTGCAAATGTGTGAATTAAGGATAAAAATAATATAACCCATTTTACCTTTTATAGATAATAAGCCAAAATACTAATGTAGCTGAAGCTTTTAAGTAGCTGTGTTAGCTATTTTACATAAAATTTTATCAAAGCTTTAGATTTTACTGAATTCGTTTTACTATGGATAACAAAACCTCATTGGAGGAGACAACCTTTTTTAAAGTTAAGAGACAGTTTGAGCCTTTTGAAATTGAGTGTGAGGCCGTGTGGGCTGGATGAGGCATGTTTCGTGGAAAGGCGCGGGGGAAGGTCCAAATGGGCCTTGAGGAGGCCTGTTATCTCCAGGCCCGCCCAGTCTTGGGACTGCTGCGATCTGGGTTCTACCTGCATCATTTCATCCTTTCTTCCTGGATCTCCCGGCCCCATTCTCCACTGCAACTAAGACTAGGTCAGGGCGTGCTTCCCAGTAACAGCAACACGCCTGTGCTGAGCTGCTTTAATTTTGGATATCTTGGATGAAAATTGCATGTGAAGTCTGATTCATTCATAGATTTAGCTTTGGGATAGGAAAGAAATAGTTGTGGAAAAACTATCAGTAGCATAAGAACAATGGTTCTTAAAGTGATAAGACAACAAAACAGTATTTAGCCACAATCTCAGGACAAGTGACAGATAGCTACCCATCAACGAATTAGCATTTATTTGTCTCTTGCTACATGTATGTTGCTGGAGATTGAAGTCTTGGATCCAAGCACTGTACATCTGAGCGAGCCTTTAAATTAGAATTTTATTCCTCACATCCTTAAGAAGATATCTCGGGGTATATAAGCCACATTTTGCTATAATGCTCTTATTTCCTTCGGTCATTCATGACAACAATTCTTGCTATGTCCTTATGTATGTATTACACTGTGAATTCATGTTTGTCGTTCTCCATAGTTGGTGTCATGATGCTTGTAACTTCTGAAACGTTCTGCACTGTTTACGTGGCTGCCAGCACAGTCCTGGGTTTGCACCTTAGCTCCGAGGTGCAAACCCGTAACTAACTTTTTCTTTCTCTTCACTTACCGCGTGCTTCAGGTGCGTGGGTGCATCATGGCTGGGGAACAGTCAAGCAGCACAACAGTCATTTGATTTGGACCTATGACGCACCACATTTGGGCTACTGGATAGCAGCGCCATTCCCAGGAGCTAGAGGTACTGTGAAAATGAAAGTGAATGTAAAGAGGAATGCGCAGGGCAGGCAGGAATGGACACCCACTGGCCCCCAGCACAGGGGGACATTGCTGCCTACCAGGTGAACGAAACCTGATACGGCTCCTCTTTTCCTTGTGCAAATGACCCCCGGATTAAACTCCCCAAACTCTTCATCTCCTAGTGTCATGTCTGATGACTGTAGGGAGACTGAAGTTTGTTTAAGTATTTCCGAGTGTCTGTTTTCCTGAATAAATCTACCCAGACCACTTAGGCTATAAGAAATGGGGACATTTTGAGTAACCTTTTTAGAAGGTGAAGACCATGTGTAGTTTACAGGACCCTGGGGAAGGCTGCCATCTCTCCAGCCCAGAGACCCGACAAGAACCTGCTTGCCTGTCTTTACCAGCTGGCTGTCACTGATCCAGTCCTTTCCAGTCTCTCCCCACACAGTGCCTGGTTTTCCTAAGGAGGAAGACACTGCAGACACAGTATAAATTATGTGGAGAACCTGAACCCAAGGCACCCCCACATTTAACCCAAGCAGCCTCCACATTTTTCACATTCAGTAAATTTCCCAAAAATTAAAAAAAAAATGGATTCAATTCATTAAATCTTCCTGAAAATAGTTGAGTGTAAGGATACATGTCTTTAATCCTAGCACTTGGGAGGCAGAAGCAGGTATATCTCTGTGAGTTCAAGGCCAGTTTGGTCGACAAAGCCAGTTTCAGAACAGCCTGAGCAATATAATGAGACCCTGTCTCCATAAAGCTGAAAAATGAGCAAACCAACCCACCAACCAACCAACCAACCAACCAACCAACCAACCAACCAACCAACCAACCAACCAACCAACCAAAAACAAACCCATAAACCCTTCCTGAACAAACATCATTTCACATGCTAGAGACTAGAGGCTATCACTCTAACTCAAATTAAATAAGAACCCCATGCTTGCATTCTATATTCTGCTACAGTGTAACTTGAGTTTCCATATTACAGCTTTCTGCAACAGCTTCCTTGATGCTCACTGTAAGACTGGAGGCGGGGCCACACCGCGCAGGGTTTTATTTCTGCAGTGTCAGCAGATTGCAAGAGCAGGCTGTTGTGCGGCAGTGGTCGCTCATTTGCCTTTTAGACACCTGTGTGTGAGCGCCTGGGATTGCTGCTCTGCTCTTAGGCCTGGAACGGTTCAGTTCAACATATTTTCTTTTTTAATATTTTTTAAATTAATTACAATTTATTCACGTTGTATCCCAGCTGTAGCCCCCTCCCTTGTCTCCTTCCAATCCCACTCTCCCTCCCTCTTCTCCTCTCTGACCTTCCCCGAGTCCACTGATAGGGGAGCTCCTCCTCCCCTTCCCCCTGACCCTAGTCTATCAGGTCTCATCAGGACTGGCTGCATTGTCCTCCTCTGTGGCCTGGTAAGGTGCTCCCCATCCAGGGGAGGTGATCAAGAGCCAGCCACTGAGTTCATGTCAGAGACAGACCTTGTTCCCCTTACTATGGAACCCACTTGGAGACTGAGCTGCCATGGGCTACATCTGTGTAGGGGGTCTAGGTTATCTCCATGCATGGTCCTTGGTTGGAGTATCAGTCTCAGAAAAGATCCCTGTGCCCAGATTTTTTGGTTCTGTTGCTCTCCTTGTGGAGCTCCTGTCAACATATTTTCTTATTTCAGGACTCAGGTTGAAGGCATAGTGACTTTCCGGGACACACTATTGACACGTGAGAGTGCGTTAGCCAGATAACTTAGCCACATCTCATGCCACAAAACTTTTTCTCTTGGAGTAGTTTCAACCAAGAGTGACCCCCAATTGCATTCTCTACTTCTTTCCTTGTATGTGCTCTCTGATTTTTAACAACGTGCTTTGTTCTATATCTATTTGGTAGCACAGAAAATATGGTATGGGAAATAAATGGGGAATTTCTTGTATTAATTTTTTTTTTACAAGCATTTACAAAGGAAGAATTTCCTGATTCCCAAGTAACACTCAACAGATGCTGTCAACCTATATCCGCATGTCATTTCCAACATTTATGGTGAATGTTTGTTTTCTTTAAGGTTGCTTCCAACATATTGACTACTTTCAGAAAATGAAAAGCACAATACATATATAATATTCTGGGTCAGGGACATGGAAGAGTCACAAAGGAGAGGGGTCAGGGGAATGGTCTGAGATTAAGGCTCTGTATTCAGTTTATTTTGTAAATAAATTACATGGGAATTCCAAGACATAGTGAGATTGGTTACATTGTTTTCTTAAAGATAAGTTAAAGTATGTTTATCCTATATTACATGGCTAATATCCACTTATAAGTGAGTATATGCCATGTGTATCTTTCTGTTTCTGGGTTACCTCACTCAGGATGATCTTTTCTAGTTCCATCCATTTGCCTGCAAATTTCATGATTTCCTTCTTTTTAATTGCTGAGTAGTATTCCATTGTGTAAATGTACCACAATTTCTGTATCCATTCCTCTGTTGAGGGGCATCTGGGTTGTTTCCAGATTCTAGCTATTATGAATAAAGCTGCTATAAACACGGTTGAGCAAATATCCTTGTATGGTTGAGCATATTTCAGATATATTCCTAGGAGTGGTATGGCTGGATCTTGAGGTAGCACTATTCCTAATTTTCTGAGAAAGGGCCAGATTGCTTTCCAAAGTGGTTGTACAAGTTTACATTTTCATCAGCAATGGAGGAGGGTTCCCCATTCTCCACATCTTCTCCAGCATGTATTGTCACTTGAGTTTTTTATCTTAGCCATTCTGATGGGTGTAAGGTAGAATCTCAGGGTTGTTCTGATTTGCATTTCCAAATGGCTAAGGATGTTGAGCATTTCTTTAAGTGTTTCTCTGCCATTCTATATTCTTCTATTGAGAATTATCTGTTTAGCTCATTTTTAATTGGATTACTCGGTTTGTTAGTACTTAACTTCTTGAGTTCTTTATATATTCTGGATATTAGCCCTCTGTCAGATATAGAGGAGACAGAAGCTACACAAGGAGACCAACAGAGCCCAAAACTCTGGGCCCAGGGGGCTGCAGAGGCTGATGCTCCAACCATGACCATGCATGAAGAGGATCTAGATCCCCCTGCTCAGATGTAGGCAGCTCAGTCTCAATGTGTTTCTTAGTAAGAGGAGCAGGGACTGTCCCTGACAAGAACTCAGTGGCCGCCTCTTTGATCACCTCCCATGAGGTCTTTCCAGGCCACAGAGGAGGACAATGCAGCCAGTCCTGATGAGACCTGATAGACTAGGGTCAGATGGAAGGCGAGGAGGAACTCTTCATCAGTGGACTAGGGGAGGAGCATAGGGGGAGAAGAGGGAGGGAGGGTAGGACTGGGAGGAGAGGAGGGATTGGGCCACAGCCAGATACAAAGTAAATAAATTGTAATCAATAATAAATAAGTTAAAGTAAAACAGGTTGAATACACAATAGGGAAATAAACTAAATATATAATTTTAAATGATCTGAATGAATGGTATCTAACTAAGATGCAATATTAGGCAAAAGGTTCGGTTTCTGAAGACAAGTGGTATTTTGAAAAAAGTTATTTCCGCGGTCATGCAAAATTTATTGGTCAAAGCAAGCCAATTGATTAATACCACAGGACATGAAATTTGAATAATACCAAAGGACACATGTGCTTCCCCTACAGACGTCCACCATGAGAAGGAAGCAAACACACATACTCCCTCTGTCTCATCCGGGAAAAAAAAACAAAACCAAAAGTCTCACCCAAAATGCTACCTTCAGTTTTTCTGTGTTTGCATTGAATCAGGCTCAGGCATCCATGAAGATTCCAGAGACATAACTGCCTACCACACAGCGTTCCTCACAGCCATCTTAGGCGGAACCATGGTCATCACCGTTGGATTTTTCGCTGTGCTGCTTTGTTACTGCAGGTAAGAACAGCACTCCTCGGTGCACTAGATACCGAGCTGCCAAGTTACAGAACAGCGTGTGCATTAAAATTTGCATCTATAGAAAAATCGTTTCTGGTCTGGAGAGCTGGCTTCATGGTTAAAAAGACGTGCTCTTCTGGATCTGCATGCATGGGGCCTCAGGGCTCCGCACCAGGTCCTCTGTGTGTCTGTGATGGCTGTTAGCCTGGTGTTTTTGCGGGACTCCTAACTGTGGGAGCGGGGTGTCTCTGACTCTTTCACCTGCTCCTGGGACTCTTTTCCATCTATTGGGTTGCCTTGTCCAGCCTCGATATGAGGGCTTTTGCCTTGTCTTATTGTATGCTGTTTTGTTATGTTTTGTTGTTGTCTCTTGGAGGCCTGCTCTTTTTCTGACGGGAAAGGGAGGGAGAGTGGATATGGGGGAGAGGAGAAGTAGGGGGAGCTGGGAAGAGTGGAGGGAGTGGAAACTGGGGTTGGGATGTATCGTATGAAAGAAGAATCTATTTTTAATAAAAAATAAAAACAAATAAAACAAACAACCAAAAAACACTTGCTCTTCTAAAGTTCCTGAGTTCTATGTCCAGCACTCATATCTGCCTGTAATTGCAGCTCTAGGGGCTGAGACGCGCACACACATACGTACATACGTACATACAAACACACATATACACATAAATAAAAATTAAAAAATACAAAGAAATTATTCAGTCTTCACTACATGTCGATGATAAAGCCACTGTATTCTGATGACATCACTAGCTATGTTATCTGTATATTTTGGTATAGTTTTCTCTGATGAATCTTGTAGATGGTAACTTGTAAGTATCTTTTGCCTTTTCTTTTTTTCTGCTCCAGGGGGAAGTGTGGGACGCCACAGAAAAGAGAAAGAAATATCACTAAGCTCGAGATCCTCAAGAGAGACCAGACGACATCCACGACACACATAAATCATATCAGTTCAGTCAAAGTTGCCTTAAAGGCTGAGGGCAAGCCGCAGCTCTTTAACGCCAAAACCTCCTCCTACAGCCCCCAGAAAAAGGAAGCCGCGAAGATGGAGGCAGAAGAGAGAATTTCTATGGTGAAAACTCGAGACAATTTTAAAATCTACAACGAAGACGTTTCCTTTCTGCCTGTCAATCACAGTAGTTACTCAAGAAACCCAGCGCAGTCTTTGGAGCCAAGCGCGGGGAGCAAACAACCTAAGCACGTCAAGAGCGCGCTGTCCCCACCGCTGGGGGACGCCGGCGAGGAGGAGCGGTACCCGGCGGGGGCCGAGGAGGCCTACGGGCGCTCCCGCCTCCCCGAGCAGCTCCTGCACCTCTACAGCCAGCCCATCGCCATCCTCCAGACGTCGGAGCTCTTCGCCGCCCCGGAGCCGCTGCACGGCGCCAGGTCCGCCACGCTGCCCAGGAAGGGGCAGCTCGTGTACGGCCAGCTGGCGGAGCCCGGCGGCAGGGACAGCTTCGCGCAGACGCTGCCCAAAATGCCCGCGCACTCTCACGCGCAGGCCGCGGACGCCGGCGAGGGGGACCTCGCGCTCCCAGGTCAGCAGGGCCTGCCGCCCCAGGCCGCGGACTGGGGCCGCTACTCCACCAGCCTGCTGGAGTCGGTGTCTGTCCCCGGCACGCTCAACCAGGCCGTGGTGATGACGCCCTTCTCGTCGGAACTGCAGGGCATTTCGGAGCAGACCCTCCTGGAGCTGTCCAAGGGCAAGCCCTCGCCGCACCCCAGGGCGTGGTTCGTGTCTCTGGACGGAAAGCCCGTGGCGCAGGTGAGGCACTCCTTCATCGACCTGAAGAAGGGCAGGAGGACGCAGAGCAACGACACGAGTCTGGACTCCGGGGTGGACATGAACGAGCACCACTCAAGCCGGAAGCTGGAGAGGGAGAAGACGTTCATCAAGAGCGCGCCGCAGCCCAAGACCCTCTACCTGGAAGACCTGGACCTGAGCAGCAGCGAGAGCGGGACCACCGTCTGCTCGCCCGAGGACCCCGCCCTCAGGCACATCCTGGACGGAGGCAGCGCCGTGGAAGACGCCGACGCCAACACGTCTCCCACCAGAAAAAGAGGCCGGCCGCCACCGCTCGCCCAAAGGGACGGCAAGACTAACATCTGGAAGAAACGCGAGGAGCGCCCGCTGATCCCCATGAGCTAGTCGCGGGCGCGGGCGTCTGTGTCGTCTCAGGCTGCGCGTCCCTCTGGTGGACTGCAGTCCGGGCTTCTTCCAACGCTAAGACTGAGCCATCTCGTGGGCCTTAGCCGCTTCTCAAGCAACGTAGACGGTAAAACAATAGTCAGAAATCAGACATGCTTCCTCTGGCCTGTTCTTTTCGTTGTTTTTGTTTGTTTGTTTTGTTTTGGGTGGGTTTTTGTTTTGTTTTGTTTTGTTTTTGAGTGATGAGGACATTCAAGTTTTTAAAATGTAACATAATGTAAAGATGCTCCCTGAAAACGCTGCTCCGCTTGCCGGTTGGTACTGATTCTGAGAATACCGTTGCGAAAAGTGAGGTGAAGTTGCCTTCCGAGATGGTGCCTGGGTCTCCTGGAGCCTTAGAAAGGCAGGCGTCCTCCACAGGCCTCCTCCTCAGGCGTGTGACCGCGGTGTCCTCTCCTGCCTCTGCTGAAACACAGCTTGGTTAGCGCGAGGGTGGACAGTGAAGGCCAAACAGCGCTTTTTTAAAGGGTAAAGGCTTGTGCACTGCCGTTCCCGAAGAGAGCCCTGCGGCGCGGGCGGGAAGCCCCAGCCGACTAGAGCAGGAGACCCGGATTCGAATGATGTGGGGATGTGGGTGTACAGAGTAAATACGGTATTGACCTGTTTTGCAGAAATTCGAGAAATGGAAACTCTGGTCTTGTCTATTTTCGAATGAAGTGACCTTAGTTGCCCGCTGAAAGGAGGCCCTGAGTTTAAGGTTCACTGACCCGTATAGGCTAAAACTGGCTTTTAATACATTTTTCCGAAATTCAAATTTGGTCGTTTAGAGACTTTCAAATTTGATGTAAAAATACAGAAATTTCTTGTGAATGCCAAACAGTGAAAAGACTGTGTGGAGAAAAAGGAAATGAGTATTTGGATAGGAAAGGAAAGGCCGATTTCCTGATATTCAAAAAAAATCTCCAGCGTATGAGTTACATTTCTAAATCTTGACACTTGTAAAAGATGTTTGAGGGGAGGTTTTCCTCGCCCCCGTGTCCCTGCAGCCTCATGTTTCAGGCTTTTATCGCTGTCCTTCTCCCAGTCTGAACCCAGGAGCTGTTTTCAGTTGTATGTCCTCAATTCTCCTGAAAATAAAAGCTCTTCAATACAACCAACCATCCTGTTCTACTTAAAACTTTTCACGAGGACACATTTGTGCAGCAGCTTCCCCTTTCCTTTGGTGGGAAGAGATGGTTCTTCTCATCCCAAATGTAAGAGCTGCAGAGATTCAAGCCACCTGAACAAGTGTGAGGAAAGTAAAATAGACGCCCCAGCTCTGTAAAGTTGTAGAGAGTTCTATGACGGAAGTCGGCAGCTTTCCTCCCTGTAATCACTTCTAAAATATCTGTTGTAACTCTCCTGGCTGTCTGAGTTTAACCCAAAGAACGCAAAGACCCTTGCCTATGTTTCTTGTATATTACCTCTCTTCATATGTGTTTGGGTAGCACACGGGCTTACTTTGGGGGGTAGAGTGGTAAGGCTTACGTTTAGAGGAGGTTTTGTATCGGTCTCACACAGAAACGGATCAGGAGCAGCACGAACAAAACGGACTTGGAGAAGTTTAAGGAGTTAGCGCTCTGTGGAAGTGCCTTTGACTCGGACTTGTCAGGAGGACTGTGGACACCTTTCTTCAGTGTACATTTTCTTAGCCAAATTAAACAGATGTGCAGTTATTAAAAACATAGGCCTAGTGTTTCATGTTGGAACAATGAATTTTGCATGTAACATTCTCTTTTGCGTGCTGTTTTTTGGATCCACAATATATTGTTAAATTGCTTGTCTTGGGATGAGGTCGGGAACGCTATTGTAAAATGCTGCACCTCCTCAGCACCTTAAGTGGATATTCTCAGCTTTAAAAACGGCTCGCGTTTCCACTGGGCAGACAGGAGTTGTAGCACCCAGTATGCCAGTGACTCCACTCATTCTCGTCTAAGGGGAATGAGGTGATGTAACCGAAGGGCTGTGTAGAACTTAAGTTTCACAAAATACTCAACAACACCGCAAGGCTGCTTTTGATTGAGAATGATAGACAGTTTATCTTTTCTAATCGGAAGACTGAGACTTATTGTGAGCAGGCCAGTTTCCTGGTAAGGAGCTGAAGCCATCTACTTTTTCTTAACCCCAGTGACACATCAACACTACTCACTACTTTCTTAAATTTTTAAATCGAAAGCCAATGCATACTTTTGCATACGAAAACTAGAGAATTTTGATTATAATTGTTGACATTTATGGCTCTTTTGTACATAGTCCAGATATAACTTGAAGGCAGAGCTGTCAACTAGCTGATGGATTCATTTACAAAAAGCACAGCTTTGTGCAGTTTTGGATACACGTGACCTTGAAACTTTATAAAACCCATTTCTATGACTTTCCACAGTTGAGTAGGGGTCATTTATAGTGTGCCACAGTGTGCCACGAAGATCGCTAACGCTGAGGAATAACAGCTCGGCTTTGCTTTGGCAATTACTCTCAGGCCAGTTTCTGTGTATGTGGATCCTCTGCTGTCGATATATTATAGGGTTTTAGAGATTTGGGGGTCAAATATTGTCCTCCCAAACTTCCAGAAAGGTGATGCTCAAAGCTCCACGTTCATTTCTACAGCTGAGTTACCCGCTGGAGATCTAGAGTTGATATCTTGCCCTCTTGTTCCCAGGTGTTTCTGTTATTTTCCTTTGTATTCTTTCATCAGAGAAATCTCATGTTTTGGTGTATTTATTGCTGTTATTGTATTTCTTGAACAGTCTGAAGATTTGTAAAATGTTACAAACAGTTCTTTAAGGATAATAAAATCAATCTAAATGCATATTTGTTCTAGTGTTTAACTTTAAGTAAAAGGCAAAGGCTTCCTCCCTTGTCTAGTAAATACTTAATCTTCGTTACTTTCTAATCATTATGTCCCGCAACATTAGCCCCGTGTATATAACAAACTTGGTAACTCCTTACTGTCATGTCTCCAGAATTCCCAGTTTTACTGTTCGAGACGACCATAGGCAGCTAGTTTTCCATCGAATAGGATTCATTGCCCTCACAGGCTTTTTTAATTTTCAATTGATTTATTGAATCCCTTTACAGGCAGAACCCCAGCTCCCTCTCTCCTCAAGCTCTCATGTATCACCCCTCTCCTTCTCAGAGAAGGAGAAGCCCCAAGGGGTACTAACCCACCACAGCACCTCCATCACAGCAGGACTGAGCGCATCTTCCTCCACTGAGGCCAGATGAGGCAGCCCAGCTAGAAGAACGGGATCCAAAGGCAGGCAACAGAGTCAAAGACAGCCCCCCTCCCATTGTTAGGGGACCCACACGATGACCAGGCCGCACCTCTGCTACATATGTTAGGGGTCTCGGTCCAGCCCATGCGTGCTCTTTGGTTGCTGGTTCAGTCTCTGTGAGCCCCCATGGGCCCAGATTGGTTTATTCTGTAGGTCTTCTTGTGGTGTCCTTGACACCTCTGGCTCCCTCTCCCCTTCCTCCCACTCCTCCACAGAACTCTCTAAGCTCTGCCTATTGTTTGGCTGTGGGTCTCTGTATCTGTTTCCATCAGCTGCTGGATGAAGCCTCTCAGAAGACAACTATGCCCGGCTGCTGTCTGCAAGCACAGCAGAATATCATCCACAGTGTCAGCGGTTGGCTCTTTCCCAAGTCTCAAGTTGGGTCAGTCATTGGTTTGCCATTTCCTCAATCTCTGCTCCATCTTCACCTCTACACTTCTTGTAGACAAGACGCATTTTGGGTCGAAGGTTTTATGGGTCAGTTGGTGTCACCCTCTCTCTACTGGAAGTCCCTCCTGGCTAGAGGAGGTGGTGAGTTCAGGCTCCATGACCCCACTGTTAGGTCTCTCAGCCAGGGCCACTGTCATAGACTTACAGGGCCCTACCATGTCCCAGAGATTCTCTCCAGATTTTCTCTCTCCAGGCCCTCCGCCCTCTGTGGGGAGTGTGGAGGTAAGCTATTTGGGGGCCCATAGGGAAGGGCGAGTGAAGCATCAACGACTCCTACAACTCCTCCAAAGGGATCCACTGCGCACAGTGTGGACCCACTAGGCCCCTGGCACACCAGAGAAGTCTCAAAATGGATCCAAGGCTGGGGCGGAGACTGCTTCCCTCTTCTTTACCGAAATCTTCTAGGATGACATTTGCCCCCATCTCCCACATTTCCTTATATTCGCACCAACCTGACTGTTACTGGTGCTTGAGGTTGGCGTGGATGGTCCGATTGGCCTTTCAGCCATTTAAAGGCTGTTACACTGGACAATAAAGTTAGATCTGCGCCTTTCGGTCTGGTCTCCAGAGTCTGATTCCCAGGATTCTGCATGGGCTCCATCGACACCCACCTTCCCCTGTTCCTGATCCCCACCCTCATTATCCTCCCCACCCCTCTCCCACACAGCTTCCTCCCGATCCACTTCAGATGACTATTTATTTCCTCTTCTGTGTGAGATTCAAGCATCCTCTCTGGGCCCTCCTTGGAGTGAAAAAAAAAATTAAGCCCCCATAACTTTTTTAAAATACCCTTTAGGCTTTTGACCTAACACTAAGTAATAACTCTAATGCTCTTCTTCACTCTCAGACCTCCAAGGTCCTCTGCTGTGGATGTTTTGGTTTATGAGACGTAAACATGGTTTTGTTCTGATCCCAGGTGTGAGATATAGGACTGATTCAGATGGTCCACAGCCATGAACTGTTCGCCTCATGCAGGCCGAGAAGGGCTCTTTGCCAGCTGCAGATAGTTTAAGTCTCAGGACTCTGGAGAGTGAATAAATACCAGAGCCTAGAGCATGCTGGGGGGGACTCCGGGAGAGGAGGTGGCGGCTGCTGTTGCTGCTGCTGCTGCTGCTGCTGCTGCTCCTCCTGCTCCTCCTCCTCCTCCTCCTCCTCCTCCTCCTCCTCCTCCTCCTCCTCCTCCTCCCTCCTCCTCCTCCTCCTCCTCCGCCTCCTCCTCCTCCGCCTCCTCCTCCTCCGCCTCTGTGCTCCTGGTTGCTGTCGATATAGTTGGAGGAGACGCTGGAGATACCCCCGCAATGAAGACTGGACTTGCCCCAGGAACCCAATGATCGTAAGCAGCAGGTATTAGCTAAAGGGAACTGCGACCACTCTCCCCACTAATTTTTCTCTCTTACCGGCATTGGGGTGTTGGAAGGGATTGGGTGGAGAAGGGAGAAAGAGGCCTAAGAAACATAAATGAAATAGTCTAGAGAATAGCGCGAGCAGCCCTCACTTAGAGTTGGACGATGTTTCTGTTCAGGCAGGTGGTATTTGGGGCTTTAGAGTTGTTTTGAGGACTATGTTTTTGGCCGCCGTATTTTTAGACTTCTGTAATGCCGTTCATTCATTATGCGACCGGACATTGTTTGGGATAGTTCTGCTGTGTGTTGGACCCTGAAATCACTTGGTGCACAGTACTGCAGACACTGAGTCTCCTGGCATTGTGCTGGAGCCTTCTACCTGGAGCCCAAGCGCCGGCAGGGCTGCAGCTACCTCTGTGCCAGGGCCTGGGTGCAAACGCAGTGAAGACTCAGATTCTGAGCAATGATGTGGCCGTCATGACCAGAAGCTGTCAAAGCAGTGACTTCTGAGCTGGCCAAGACCCTGATCCCGGAAAAAAGATTACATCGTAATGATGGGAAATGCAAAGAGCTGCAGAAAAAGTTGGGTGGAGACAAGGGATTTTTTTCATGTTATGGGAAGTGATTCTTTTCATGTACTTAACAGTTGGAACAGATAACTCGGGGCCCGCCCCTTTGACAGCATGTTGGAAAACAGGAAACGAGGCCGTGGTGGTGTTTGGCCCCATAATGAGCACTTTTTCTCTGCATCGGATAACAGACCCCTTTATCAGGATTCACAGCACGATAGATTCCTCCCCGGACTAGGCCCTCACACCAAGGCAAGGGCAGAGGAGACTGCCTCACTGTGAGAGGTTTGGATTTGTCTCGCTGTCAAAATGAAGATTATTTCTTTGATGTTTTTTTATCTTTATTGGATTCAGATTCTTAAATACATCTTTATAGTTTAATGCCAGAAAAGTAGTCAAGAACTCAACAACAGTTTGCAATGCTAAATGTGAAATATTTTGGGAAAAAAAATCACATACCATTAATTTAAATTCATTAACAGCTAATTTCTGGGAGGAGGGAATAAGTTTTCTTTCTGAGACGGCTACACTTAACAATCACAGTTTTTACTGTGACATTTGTCAGAGTACTGTAGGGACAAATTTCTCCTCTTCGCTAGCTGAAACAAATGAACACCTTGGCATTTCTGTTCACGTGATGAGGTGGACAGAGCCTTTCTTAGCTGGACCCCGCATTTCCTGGTCTTTGAAGCTACACCAGTTAGACTGCTAAATAACATCACATGATTTTGTAGGGATAGCCTAATTTTTTTTTCATGAGTTGGCTCTTCTCTTATTCAGGTTGACAGTGGGTTTCATAATTCATGTGTTTACTGTGTTCACGTGTGTGCTAATCCTTGCAGATCTTATTAAAATACTAGACTAACTGCAGACAGTCTGATTCAAAACAAGCCGGATAATTGTGGCCCCAGGAACCTCTAAGCTTGTTAAGCTTCAACAATGACTTCATTAAAAATAAATAAATAAATAAACTTTCAAAACTACAGCACGAAAAAGCACAGTTATAGCTAAGGCCAAATAGGGTCTCAGAACACTTCCTATTTTATATTTCTGTCTTCCAGCCCAAGCGATGTATCTTTGTCTTATACAAAATCTCTCTTAAAAAGTTATACTCAAGTTTATCTCCACCAATCAGCATTTTGTAGTAAGTGGTATTTTGAGACTTTAATTTCCAGCTTTGATAATCTCTAAAATGTTTGTATCCATTAAGCAGAGAAAAATTAATTATTAATGTACTTTCATGGATTTTCTTGTTGCCCATTTTTGCCATTTAGTATTTATTTTTAATTTAAAAATGTCATTTCATGAATAATTTATTAACCAATATATATATTTTTAAAGATTTCATGTATTTATACAATGTATTTTGAACTACTTTGTAAATACTGTTGATCTGAATACTGACTGTTAAAGAAGTCGATGGTGAGCACCTGAGGTTTGTGACTCAGGGCTTTATTTTCCTAGGGAGCACTTACGTTTATAATAACAAAGAGACAGCACGGAAAACAGTTACTTGCCTGGTCAGATATTTTGCTTTCCTTTTTTGCCGATAAAAATGACAAATTAATTTTTAAAAGGAGTCTGAAAATGAATTTTATGCTAGTGATTACTAACACATATACTTATTTTCTGAAACCCTCTTACTCAGAGTATTCCTGTTTGTGATTTTTTTTTTACAATCAAAGAACAAGTTGTAAATTATTTACAATAGAACTGTACTTATTCCTCTTCTATTGAGACTTACCTATCTTGTCCTGCTTTTTTTTAGAAGGTAAATTTTAATGCCATTAAAATTAAATTTAGTAAAACAATTTCAGTATAAATCAGATAATTTCTAAAACCCTATCTGTCCAAGACATACTCAGTTCACTTGTAAAGAGACGAAAGGCTGTATGTTCTTTGTATGGCCTGCTGTTTAAGATGGTCTAGGTTGTTACAGTGTACCGATAGCTAATACCGTATGTTTGTCTGCTGAGGTCATAGGATCCCTGTGGACACCAACTGTGCTTTAACATGCTTAGTTTCCACTAGTACCTCTGTAACATACTTAATATTGATTAATGAATACATGATAATGCATTTTGTCACTGTAAACATCTAAAGTGTTTCAAGAAGTAGGGAGAGTGATGTCAGCAAGATGGTAGAATGTCTGTAGTCTGGAGAGGTGGCCTAGGGGGCCACAGTGCTCCCCGCACACCGCGAGAATCTGAGCGTGAATCACCACCAATGTGAAAGCTGGGAGAGTGTCCCTGCAACAGTGTGCTGAGTGGGGGCAGAGGTAGGAGGTGCTCACTGGCCCCCAGCTCGGTCTCAGAGGAACCAGACGAAGCCATAGAACTGGAAATCCACTGTGCAGTCCTTTGGCTTCTGTGTGTGCATATGCCACACACACACACACACACACACACACACCTCCCTTCTTGAAAGTGTAACTTAGTACCTTTCTACAAACTAAAGTGTCTTTCTAGCATCTTTGGAATATAAGTAGGAGGCTGTAAAATACTGATAAGGGTCCAAATTTAAAGGGCTCTTTATTGTTAATATTTAAATTGTGTTTAGACAATGTCACACGTATGGAATACATGTTCACCACTCTGGCCCCATACCATTCTCTCCACAAATCTCTCCCGTTCATATCTAGTGTGTGTGTGTGTGTGTGTGTTAGAGAGATTCCCCTAGAGCTGTCTGCTGGAGTCTGGTGGGCTCAGCAGTGGGAACAAAACTGAAGGCAGTGGTGCCCGCCAGTCGGCTAATAGCTAGCAGCAGGGAGGATAAGGCAGCTCTCCCTTCCTGACTTCCGGCTGCGTCCTGTGAAGAGGCGGGCCCAGCTGTGCGCTAATGGCTGCAGTGGTAGAGTCGAGGGTTTGGCATTTTGCAACCCACCACGCTTTCCTTCACTCTTGCGCACTTCCTCTTCTGTCTTCCACAGTGTTTTCTGAGCCTTCAGGGCAGTGGTGTGGATGTCGTTTGGGGGTAGGTTTGTGTGGAGGGCCGGAAGGAATCCTCAGGGGTATTCTACTCGCGCCTGGTATTGCAAGTCCAGCTGACGGTCCAGGGTTGGTGCCGTCGTAGGCCCCGGTAAAGAATTTCCTACTGATATTTAACTAAGTTGACAATGCAGCAAACTTCCTTCTAAATATCCATGCTTACACTGATAGGCAAAAGTTGCTTTCAACCTTAGTCAGAGATGCTTCTCTCCATTGAAACAGTGGTGAATGCAGAGATTGGTGGATTGCCAAGGTGCAGGGGGAAAGGGATGCTTTGGGAGGACGGAATTAGTTTCAGATGTTAGGCTGGAAGACTACATCCGGCCCCCTCTAGGGGCAGACGTGGCTCTACCCACCTTGTAGATGCTACTGAAGTGTTTGACTTTTTTTTTTTTTTTTTTCTCTGTGTAGCCTTGCTTTTTAGACTAGGCTGGCATGGAACTCACAGCAATCCACCTGCCTCTGCCTCCCTGAGTGCCTAAATCAAAAGTGTGCACCACCACTTTGATTTTAATCTGCTCTTTAAAACCTAAAAGCAAGTGAGCCAGGAAGAGCCATGGCCAGCATGTCTCAGATAACAGGCCTGCCATACTTGGTTCCAGTTGTGGACCCTGAAATGTCCTGATATGTGGCTACAGCACATCTTTGCTATCAATGGAACCACTGTTGCCCTCTTTTAGAAACCCAGAGGCTAGGAACATACCTGTCTAATTCCCAGTGGCAGAACTGCAGACCAGATAAGCAAATACGGATGGAAACCATTGCTATTAGATTTATCTCAAGAGGAAAGATCAAGGGATTCTCTGTATGAAACAACACAAAATGTGAAAACATAAAGCTCTCTGGTTAAAGTTAATTCACAGTGAGATTAAGACAAATAGTCTATGAATTACCTGTCTCTTTAGTACAAAAGCTAAAAGTAAAAGCATTTAAAAACATAGTTTCAGTGCTAATTTACAAACAAAGGCTATAATGTATAACATCAAGAGGATAAAAGATGTTGGAGGAAGAAATGTAGAGTTTTGCATGTGTCTGAATTTAAATTATTTGCTTAAAATAATTTTATAAGTGTATTTTATCTAAGTATCATGATTAATTAAAGGGAAAATTCTTTCTAGTATACACACAAAAGATCAGAACAAAGAAATCAAAACATGCTATTTTAAGTTTTAACAAATCATAAGGGAAGATAGGAATAATAATAATAATAATAATTCCTTTGGAAAAACAAAGGAATTATAAAACAAACAGGTTAAAATGTTGATAAGTCTCTATAAACCAATCATTAAAAAAGAAAAAATGAATCAATCTTTACTTTAAATGCAAAAGAATAAAGTCTTGAATCAAATGATGTACAGTACCTAAAACTAAAAATAACCAATCAAACATTATTCTTCACTATTTCTTCACGATTAAAAACTATGCTGCATATGACACAATTGTAG